CAGTGACGATGAACTTCTTGCTGACGAGGCTTCTTGGCGCACAGGTACGGTGACTGTGTACTGTCTAAGGAAGGGGTGGGGGGTGTTCGAGAGAACAGGTCCCATTTTACTTCCGCTCTCGGTACGCTGCTATATTGTATAGTTTTCTGGAACTGGTGTTCAGTGGCTGTAGCTATTTTCACACTTCTTTTCACATCTTTGTTTTATCGAATCGACCCAGAGGTTTTGGCTGGGATCTGAATCGTTTTCAGCTTGTTTTTTACTTGTTAGAGAAAGTAAAGCATAGAAGTTGATATTCATTGTCAGTATTAGCGCTTTAATTGAAGTCATGGATGGATGCTTAGACAAAGAGTGCAAAATGAATTCCTTAATTTATGTATTCTTAGAAATAAAATCAAGTGAGCGCAGAATTTAAAGGCTTTGATAGATGTTGCAGGAAACAAACAGCTTTCTTAAACCAAAGAAAAGGTTTTTACAGGAAAGGATATAGCTCTGAAACTACTGAAATGTGCTGCGCGAGACTCAGCCGGTTTGCCTTTAGCGGTGCAAGTGGTCACTTTACCCCTCAGAGAGGAGAAGTGCTTGGCGGTCATGAAGCAGGTCGAAAACGTGTGGATGGAATAAGCATTTGTTTGTACGCTCGTTCGGTGATACTTTTATAGGCTTGTTTCACTATTTATACTGTTTTTTTTTTGCACTGCAGTGCAAATTCGGTTGTCTGGTTTGTTATTTCTAATAAATAATGCGTATTTTATTGCTGGTACAATCTGAATTGTGGATAGAGCAAGAGCTCCGTTTGAAAACTGCGTGGAAAATTAACATCGCCCTCCACGGCCGCCCTACACTCTTATGCAGCAAGCACATCCGTTATATGAACTGGCCTTACTGCGATGTCAGATCATTCCTTGGTCATCATACTGAACCGCTAAAGCTAAGATCAGCACAGGGTTTGTAATGAGAATGAATAAAATGGTGTATCACGAAGACGTGCTTAGTGATTCAACTTTCTTGTTTTCGGTTGTACTGTTTTGCACGCAGTCACCATCTTCACCTGAAATTTCGTGCATTAGTAGGGCACTTTTGGTGTTATTTTTTTCGCTCGGTTAGAAAAACTCCAGTGTTTTAGAGTAAAATCTTATAATGGGTTCTAATATTTAGTTTTGCCAAGCATGC